CCATAGTGCACACATATATCATGCAGTGTTGTTACAGCACAATGGGTGATTCCTTGCAGTTATCTCCTGACTTCTACTTGGGAAGTTAAACAAAAGAAACAAATAAATGAAAACCTAGTGGGGTAACAGGGACAGTTAAAGTGAAAATCCAAGAAGAATGCAGCTCCTGAGCACAGTAATGAAAAATGCCCATTTCTGAAATGACAGCTTTACTAACAAATAGAGAGTAGACAGGAAAGGTTAATCCGATTCATGGGGAGAATTGTTAAAGCATGGGAAGACATTCAGCATTTCCTGGCTGCTATTTCCATCTTTATTATTGAATTAACTGCTTCAGAGCTATGGACATTAGCAAGGAGAGATTAAGAAATGCCTATTTTGTCTCAAAAGTGGTGTGGTCTGGCACATTTGCACTGGGAATTGTGATTTCTGAGAACCACTCTTCATTTCAGTGACTCACTACCAGAGCTTGGGTTAAACATGGAGACCAGCATATCTGAATGTACCATTTGGCTTCAAGTAACCAAAATGGGAGGGCTTAGCCTCAATTATCCAAATACAGAACTCTGCAAAGTGCAGCCACTGATACTCAGCATCTCAGATATTAAGCTCAGAATACCTCAGGTCGTGTATCAAAAGTATCTTCTGGGAAGTCTGTTCTCTGCTTTCCATTCCTCTTCTGTAACTTACATGATACAAGATGTCTCTGCCTTGGAATAAATCCATGTTTTAGATTAATCCATTAGTGGTTCTGAGGTATCTGCAGACCCTCCAGCTCCATGAGAAATTATCCTAGTTCAGTATGTTTTCCATTTTACTGTTTCAGAATCCTAAAATCATAGAATATCATGAGATAGAAGCAACACATTAGGAACAAAGAAAATGCTTGATTCACAGCATTTTATAAATTGATGAAAGAAAGACTGTATTTTAGACTGGGAATTACTTTTTCAATCGTAAAAGTCAATGAAGACATTAATAAATTGCCATTGTTATTACAGTACTTCTGACACTCAGGTTAGATTCCTTGCTCCTTTTTAGCTACCATCTTTCCACTGGCCTGTCACTGTTTATGTCCTAAGCAACCTGCTATGGACAGCATACAACTGAAATGTAAAAAGAATGGAAACGGTTCAATAAAACCTCCCCTACATATAAGAAAAAAAACCTACCCCAAACAAAAACAACAACACAAACCAACCCCCCAAAAAACTATCAATAAAGACTTTGAATAATAAGGTGTAATGTCAAAACTTGAAACCAGTAGAAAGACCAAGCCTATCTTGGCTTTAGAACAGGACATTTAATGGCCATGGCAAACTTCTGTGGATGGTGCACACTGAGTCAAGACTAGGGAAGATTTCTCTTTAAATTTGCTCATGTGTGTCCATCTGGGCCCTTATTATCAGCTACCTCCAGGAAGATACTGAGATGTACAGAGCTTTGATTTGATCCAATGAGTCAGTCCTCACATTCTTGCTCTGGAAGGATGGATTGTTCTGTATTTTATTACTGTGTAGTGTTTAACGATGGTAACAATAGCGAATGTACTGAAGGATGACATGACCATGCTCTTGACCCTAAAGCAGACACAGAGAGAAAGGAGGCAGGCAATTTAGTGCCCGTGTGAACATGATGTTTGCTCAAGAGAGATATTGAGAGAAATACGGTCAGTGCACGGCCTTGAGGTTTCACTGAGGCGCCACACCATGCAAACAGGAATGCAAACGTTAACAAGAAGCTGTAAATAATGAAAGGGGCCCCTCTGATGAGCAGAAGGAAAGAGAGAAGGAATGTGCAGGAGGTTATCAATAGCCCTGATTACATCAGGAGAATGCTGCAGACTGGTCTTAGCAGTTTCTGGAGACTATCTTCACTGACTGATGTAATAAAAGAATTGAAGGCAATAAGAGAGGAAAGCAAAATGGGCTTCCTCACCATCCCTTGCTGAATTACCTTTAACCAACTAATTTGGTATCCCAGGCACTGCTCTGTTTAGCAGTATCCTGCACATAGATGAAATCACCCAAGCAATTACTAGACTAATATGGCAATATAAAAACATGTTTTAATAACTGTATAAATACTACTTAATGCAAAGTTTTAATAAAAGGCTACTATTGACCTTCCAGATCAATTTAAATCCCACCACAAACCAGGATATGGTTTCAATTCTGTGGAGAGCCCTGAGGGAGTCATGGAAACGAGTTGCCCCAGCACAGCTGGCAAAGATGCCTTCCCACAGGAGCTGCTCAGAGGTACTTGCAGGCAAGCAGCAACCTCGATGTGAGAACACTCGTTTCTCCAGGGGTTTTCTCAGACTTCTGCCAGGATTTTCCTCTTCCTCCAGTACACCAGAACACACCTGCATCTCCCATGTGTGTCCTGTTCTGCTCCTCTCAAGGTGTGTAAACCACTCACTGTCTTGTTACTGTTTTGTCCTCAGTTAAAAATGCAAAGAGAAATGCTGAATGTCAAAGCATAGAGCATATTAAAGACACCAACTCTCACACACTGTATATTCATGAACGTGAAATTCCACCACACTAAGCTACTTTCAGTTTTATTCCATTCTGCAAAAAGTAAAAAGGATGATAGGGAAAAGAGGCCGCTTTTTATGGACAAGTTATATAACTAAATTTTTTCTCTGCAGTCAGGATATATGAAAAACTTGCAGCATCATCCTGCTTCTCTCCCTCTCGTGTGGCAGTAGGAAAAAGAATTAATCATCTTCCCAGGGACAAAAAAGGCTACATTCGAAAACTGAAACACAAAAAATCCAGGATCCAAACACAACAATTTGAGGCTTCAGAGGAAAAAAAGAAAATACAAAGGAAAACTACATCCATTGTGATAAGAGTTTTCAAGTTACCATCTACAGGCTATTTATAGAGGTTCCCCATCCCTATAAACTTTACTCCCTTCTAAAGCCTTACAATATCTCACTTTAATGTCATTGTTAATGAGACCAGATAATGGTTCCTTGGTTTGGTACCCGCTTACAGCTCACAAAGGTCAAAGTGAGTGCTGAGGGCATGGCATATAAAGAGCTCCCAACGCTTCATGTGGCTACTGAAAGTATTCTAATACATTTCTGAAACAGGCATGCCTGACTGAGGAGCACTAGCAGTAGTTTTTTCCCTACAAATAGTGATCCAGTACATGTGCCTACCATGAGATTTGAAAAGGCTACAGCTGAAAATAGAAATTTGGACTCTTAGCAGTCTATATTTCAATATCACAATGTACCCTAATGAAGAGAAAATGAAGAAATTTGCTTATTCTAATGAAATTATAATGAAGAAAATTGCTTAAAAAACATCATTATCATCATTTTAAAATAGCATATGTGCTCAACCCCCATTTTCCATATCAGTCTCCAGCCAGAAAACTGCAAGTTCCAACCCCTAAAGTTGCTAAATGAAGCATTTTCAAATACATGTCCTCCCTCCATACTCCAGTAAGAGGCTCATAATTGCAATGCATGCAGGTGATGCAGTGTTTTCTGTGCTCCCTTCTCCCTCAGACACCAGCCCAGCCATCCTCTGTTGAAAATAGTTACCAGATCTCTAAGAGACCAGAGATTCTCCAAGTGCCACTGAAATGAAATGGACAAAATGCAGCCAGTGACCAGCACTGCCAACAGCAGTGAAGTTGTATCTCCATCCCATGGGAAGTGTGCCATCACATCATAAAGTCCTCCCAGAACCCTGACACCAGGCAGGGTGCTGCTGATAAAGGTGTTGCTGTAGCGACACAGAGCTTACTCCGAGGCAGCTACACAGGAATGTCCTCAGGAGCCCTGGGGATGATTTTCTGCTCATGCCAAGCTCTGCACTGCTGAGGCTACACCTGACTTTGTACAACAACTCAGTTACAATTAGCCAATGGAGATCATTGTGTCCAACTTTCAGCTCAAAGCAGGGCCAGCTCTGAGCCTGTGTTACAGTGTGGAGGATCTCATCTCCAATAATATTTTAAAAAATAGTCTAGACATGAATTTGTAAACACTAGCAGTTACAGTGCAGTGAAAAATGAGACAGTTTTACCCTTACAACAACTCTGTAAAAGTGGTGTGTTGGACAGAGATCTGAAGCTGTCTCAGCACTGAAGCTGTCTCCCCTGATGCCAGCAGCACAGCAGCTATCAGAGCACTATGCAAACAGTTGTGTTACAGCCTCTTAGGTTAAGACGTTGCTCTCTTGGGTGGAAAATTTGTTCTGCAAAAGTCAAGTGTATTCCTTCTATTTGCTATAGGCAACAGGATTTCAAACCTTGGCTTTGATTTTTAGCAAACACACATGGTGGGCAGCTGCAGCCGCTACTTAAGAGTTAATCCCTGTAATATCCTTTGTTAATCTAACTACAATGATCAAGTAACATATTCAACATGGTCAGAGAGTATGTTAGATTAACCGGATTACCTGCTGATGAGGGTAATACTACCCTGTATTTATTCAGCACTTCTCTGAAGAACAGAAGGTACCTTTCAAAGATGGGTAAATATTTGTCAATCCCAGAGGTGAAAATGTAAGTGCAAAGAGGCTAAGTAATAACACCAGTTCCACACAGCGAACCAGTAGCACCATTCCCAGACATGCTTTAACACAGCATTCCTTGAGCCATAGGCTGGAACAACCTGCTCAAAAAGTCCTAATCACAGCACAGCCTCCTCTCCCATGCTAACAGGCTGCCTATAAAGCAACATTTCTATGGCCAGTAAAAACTCCATTTTCACTACTCATATTTTGCTGACTTTGAAAGAGTTTGCACAAATACATTTGGGGAGCAAAAAAGCCAACAGTACTTTCCTTTGCACTGTAGTGTGTCTAACACACTGCTATGGAATAGTCAAATGTAAACATTCTGTAACTTATATGTATCTTTCATAGCTTGTGCTTGTGATTATTTTGAATTCTTTGTGTATTAAATAATACATGTGTTTAAAAGAGTCTGATAAAATAATGAACTTGAAGAATAAAGCTTTAATTTTTCTCCCTCTTTAAAAGATGGTTTACACCCACAACCAGTTCCTGTGGTTCCTGTCCGTAGACCTTATTCCTCTAATGATCATAAGGTCACCTGTACCACAGGAAACCCGGGAGAGCTGAGCATGCACTGTACTTCTCATTAGCTCATTAGTGCTCCATACCAACATTCATTGCAGTAGCTTCTGACAAAGAAAAAAACCCCAGAACTTCAATGCCTGCCTAATTTGGGCAACAATGTGTAAAGCACAGTAGCACAGACACCACCCCACTTCATGTTTGTATCTAGTCAGCATTCACTCTAGCAGAAATGATAGAACATAAGTCAATAATTAGAGACCTCTACAGCAAATGAGGAAGATCAGACATCTCTGAGGGATAATTTGTCCCACTTATTCTAGACATCTATTTTAGTATGAATCTCCTTCTGGAGATGTTTTTCTTCACTCCCTGTAGAGTAGGCTTAGACAATGAGATGCCTGCTGGTGGATGAAGTTCATTAAATGCATATTTTCTGTGCTGGCAGATTGTGACCTTCATGTCATACAAAGTGAGATACATCCAACCTCTGCTGCAACCAGAGGCACGGCGCTAATAATTTCATGGAGTGAGTCAGGGAACCCAACACTAGCATACAACCATGCCTGCTAAAATTCAGTCCGCCAATGATCTGCTAAATTTTTTTCTCAATACCACATTTATAAAATCATTTCCAGCCTTGCTAATTTCAATCACTATTTCAATCACCTTGAGTATTTATCTACTTGTTTTTGAAACAATTCTATCTCCAGTTACCCTACCCTGTAGACATGCAGGTTTTAAGCTGCTCCTCATTGTTTATGTGTCCAAGTTTGTTGGACAGCAGAGGCAGCCTGGAGTAACTTGGCTGTGTTTCTTATATTCTCATTAGAAAATTACAGCTGTAGATTTTATTATGTGATAAACTGTGCATAGGAAATAAGAGTAAAAAGCAGAAGAAGAAATCTATGCCACAGCAGAAGTTCCTCTGCGTAGGAAATTGGAAAATGTCATTATGCTATTTAGGGCAGTAGATATTGGGAAGCAGGAAAAGTTCAAATTTACCTTCTTATGCTTTTCAAAAGAGATGACAGACAGGACAGATTGCAATCTTCCTCTTACAAGAAGACAAGGCTGACATATGATCTCTTAAATCAATGGATGAAATTCCTAGTTTCACTGGAGTTAGGAATCTGCTTTAGAACCACTGTTTTAATTTTAGGCACAAAACCTCTACCATCAAAGCCTAGGGTTTGGAGAGCAGCCATTAGTCTCTGACAGCTGTGAAGAGAGACCAGGGAAAAGACACTCTAAAGTTTCACTGACATATAGCTTAGAGAACTTTACAGAGAGGAGTAGAAAATCACTTACTGGTTTACAATACAAATACAGAGAGTGATATATTTACCAGTGCCAGTACCAATACCCAGCTACACTGGAGTCCACTGCAACCCCAATGGCCCCAGAACTGCCCAGTGCCCCCTTCTCCTGGGCTGGGTGGAGATGGCAGGAGAGGTGACACTGAGAGAACAACAGGAACAATCTGTAACCTATGGCTGCAACTATTTTAAAGAAATACTGTTACATTTGCTCTAAGCTGAAGAGAAATCACAACACCTATTTCCAATTTCTGGACACAGGGTACCAGGGGATGGGAGCCAGTTTGATGGAACTGGGATGTTAGCTGCTCTGATTCTCCTTTGAATATATTTTACTCAAAATTTCAACTCTCACATATTATTTCTTGCATTGCACCTTTATCTAAAACAGATGACTCAATTCCAATTTAATATTAAATAACTTCTGGGAGAAATTCTTAGCAGCTGCTTCACAATCATACTTTTTTTCCTCTCTGGCATTAAGGGAGCATAAACACTTATTAAAGTTTAACAGGGAAAGTAAATTTGAAGATTAAAATAATGTTTAATTAGTAGCTATAATACTCATCTTTCAGGTGCACAACACAAAGCAATTCATAAGAATGATTATTGTTATTCTCATCTTACAGAGAAATGAGGTGAATTAAATGATCTTCCTTATGACACACTTAATGTTAGATTCCAGAGCTGGCTTCCAGTTCTGTGCTGTACCAACTAGGTCACATTTAGCAATATACAACTTTTAAATATTCCCAGTTCTATATTCACCTATATCTGGTATCTTAATATTTCATAATATTTCAATTTATTATTTTTTTCAGCTTCAGTGATACATTACTTCAGCTTTGTTAACATTATATCAGTGCAGTATACAGAATAAAAAAAAAAATAAAAAGGGAATTATTTCTCAGTTGATCCTTGATGTGAAATATTACTACATTTTCCCACTGGAATTAATTACTGCAGTAGCAGGTGAACCACAAAATATATCCATTGCTCCAGTTCAAGGGCGAGTTGGTAAGTGACAGGACAGAAGAACTAGAGCCAAGAGAGCTGGTGTTCTCTGCAGGGGGTGGAAGAATTTTTAGTCCATCAAAAAGATTCATGCACGTACAACTGAGATCACTCTCCAGCATGTCCTCCCTCCAGTCAAAAGGCTGAGCCTCTTTTTAAGTGAATACACATTCAAGAACAGTCAGAGTTCTTGTCCAAACTGCACATACTCGTAACTCTACAATCACTGCTTCTCAAATGTTCACTGTTTTGTCAAAAACTGCATTAAGTTTCAGAGGCTGAAAGAGAACTTCCAGGATGTGGATTTGAATAATCAAAAGCAGCAGTGTGAATGTTCTTAGAAAAGTATGTAGCAGGGTAGTTCAAAATTAGAACAGTTTCTGTCCCCAGCCTAGGACTTGCTGATCTGACACCTGCACATGCCCAGCAGCCCAAGCTGCTGAAATCTGTCAGATCCACAAGAGAAAGGTGTAAGTTTTCTCCCAAGGAAAGACACTCTATCACAAAACAGATCTGCTTAAAATAAAGAGCAGGAGGGTCTTGAAATAAGCAATAAGAATCTCTCTGGCACTGGCAGGGAATAGTGTAAAGTCTAGCCCTGCCAGTGCCAGGTTATGTTGTTTCAATGATGGAAGCGCCTGGACATTATTAAGTAGCAAAATATAGTAACATGTTCTGTTTGCAGCTTTGGTGTGAGACTTCTAGAGGTTAGTCTAATTAACAAAGAACAACTTTTGTCAGATCATTAAACAATGTTGCTTTAAAGTTCACTGTATCTCTTTACCTACCTTTCAATGTCTCCTTTCGTACACCACTAAGACTTTCTTGCTGTGGAGGTGGTTTCCACAAATATATCCATCAAGATAATATTGATTTGCATTCTTTTATTAAAGAATGATACCCCAAACCCTTTGAATTATTAACTGATAATGTATTAATACCTGAGGGGAAAGGGGTTTTTTCTTCCACAACAGGCCTTCTTCCTCTGAAGCAGTCAAGGAAAAACAAAACCAGCATGGAATTAAACACCACACTTTATGTCTAATGTTTGTTCATGGTTACTTTGCAAAGGTTATTGCATCCCTCTATCTATAAATACTAATTTAACTTTAAAATTAATCTGCAAAATTTAATATCTAATTCCAATCCCCAGATAATACTTAACGCACAATTAAATAATTAAATGTTAAATTAATAGTCAATTAAAAATTAATAATTGATCCTGATTTATTATCCTAAGAGTCCTCTCATGATTTCCTGTTTCAACAGTGGGGATAAAAAATTGAAGTCCTATTAACTTGTCACAAGAAAAAGACAGTCCCTGCTGCAGAATATGTAGGGAGTGGAAGAGAGTAGGTCAGCATTTCTCATAGTTTTCCCTTGAGCAAAGCAAGTAAACTTAATTGCATAAAATTAAAATGTACTTTGTATCAAAATATGTGCTTCCTTCAGCTTCAGACAGTGAGAAAATATTAACTAATGTAAGGCATTAATTATTTAATTTTAACTTATGGTAACGAGATAATCACTGAAAAAAGGACCTGGAACCAGTCCTGTCACTCTTGCAAAGCAGATTCAGGTAAGGTGTGCTGAGGTAACGAGGCTGTACCTGAGCAAGGAGCTCCTACAGGCTTTCGTCTTTTCCTGCTGTAACTAGAGCTGGGTTGGATATGAGTAGTGACTGATCTACATTAGATACTTAAGGAGTAATTTAACTACATCAGTTTGGTGCTACTGAATAAGAAAGTTTCTGGTAGTTTTTGCTCATTCTTTAGCACCACATCTCAAGACATACTGCAGAAATGAGCTAAAGGGTTATCTCCCAAAACTCTGCTTCCAGTTCACAGAATATTCAGAGTTGGAAGGGACCCACAAGGATCACCATGTGCAGCTCTTAAGTGAATGTCCCATACAGGGATCAAACCCACAGCCCTTGTGCTATTGGCAGCACAGCTGGTGGTTTCATAGCCTGACCATAACCACTTCCAACTTTGATTACACATCCTTACACCTTCATCATTAATCACTAGAACAAAAAGGACTCCATGTCCCTTTTCTGTGCTTGTACAGCCCTCTGTTCAGAGGGTCTTTGATTGAGAATGGAGACCCTTAAATATTGCTACAGTACAGATTTTAAAAACCAGGTCCATAATGTCCTGCACTGATCATTGCTTGTTGCAGCTGCACAAACACTTGTAGGTTTAATGTGGAAATGCAGGAGAGCCTTGAATACAATCTGCTCCCTCATATGGAAAACATCTTTGAGAACATGGTGCCAGCACAGTTAATGTTACCTACAGCCCCTTCTCTGACAGAAACGTCCTTTTCGAAAAGTGTCTGTGACATCAAATACTTCTAGGTAGTGGGAGGCCAATTTTCAAGCACAAATATTTGAATAGCACATCCAGATTTTATATGCAGAGTGGTAGGCGTAAATGCCTGAATGTGCAATTGTTTAGGCATAAAATTTGCTATTGACTTTTATTGCTAAATTCCAATTTAAACTGAACTGTTAAATTCAAATAATTAAATTCAAACCTCAAAGCCTCTTCTGTTTTTCTCCTAGTGATACCCTGCACAAGAGAAATTTTCTGTTACTTAATGGTGGCTGAAAGGAAGAATTTATTCAAGTGTGTTCTGAAGTTACTGTTTAAAGAGCTCCTGTTTACAGAGATTACTCCTTTCTCATGTAGGAGCTAAAGGCTTACCTATTACCAGTTCAACCCAGTAAGCAGGGCCAGGTGGAAAAAATTATGCTCAAGACTTCTTGCAGGCAGAAGAACAGGCTGAAACCTGCTGTTTTGAGGTTCAAACAGTTCTGCTTATTTACTGCACTGCTTTGTTTTGCAGGTACTTCAAGAGACGTGTTTTCCAGAGGTAAATAATGCAGAGTGAGACAGTTGCACTGTGCCATTATCATAGAGTTAGCCTGAAACTTGTTTATGAACATCTTGATGTTTCTCTTGACACACTGAAGGTGAGCATATACACACAAAATATTTCTATCAGACATTACTTTTCGTGAAATCTATTGTGAGTGGAGATAAAATAATCAGTTAAGAAAAACAACAGTATATTTTTCCTGTATTGCATGTTTGTAACACAGAGAAACAAGTTCTTAAACGATGCAGCAAATTCAGAGGTGTTTAGAGTCATAATTTTAATTTTTATGTATTTAACTTCTTGACCCAAGACTTTACTGGTTACCTTTACTGGTTGTTTTTAATTTATAGCTTTTAAAGATGCTAGATAATTTAAGAAAGATATTTGGTCCTTATTTAATGTCAAGAAATGAAGAATCCTAGGGAAGAGAAGCAAATACCTAATTACCTTCTCTGTTTCAAAAGTAAAAGGTCTTCCATTATGTGGCTTCTACTTAGCCCCTAGGGTTTGAATGCCTCTACTCTCTCAGGACTTTGAAAGCTTGTTTGTACCCTGGATGACTGAGTTTTGTCCAGTTTTCTGTCAACTTGTGCTCTGTCTGCATCTCCATCTTCTCTTCTGGCCTCTGCCAATTCACTTTATTTTATGTACATTTGGAATGATCCTTATTAATTGCATCACCTTTTAGCATCCTTTCCTATATAAGTTCAATCTCAAGGGCATTCATGGACTATGTCACCTGGTACTCTCAGCCTTCTAGGCCAGGACCTACCCAAAACATTAAATTTTTATTTATACCTTTGACCAACCTCCATGCCACTCTTTGCATGTGGGAGCTGCTCATTCACTAAACTTATGTTGTTGTCATTCAAATCTCTCCTTAAAGCCTTCCTTTATTCTGATGCTAATGGGAAAAAAAAAAATACTATTAGGCAACTGGAGCACTACCAACAGCTTGATCTATTACATTGACTAATATTGCTTCATTATAGCCTGACATCCCTCTTCCTGCATGTATTAATCATCTACTCTTTGAGGCAGTGTTCTCTCTGCAGAAAATCTAAGGGCTTTAAATAATGAAGTTATGCAACACCTACATGGTATGATGTATCAATTGTACAGCCACTGCTACATGAGCCTGAAGTCTACAATGAAACAAATAATTTGGTAGTTTCACATCTAGCTCGCTTTATACGATAGCTTATCACAAATTCCACCTTGCAAGTCTGGTATATATAGTAAATATTAAAATCTGAGAAGCAAACATACCTGTTTTTTCTTTCAGTGCTAGTTAAGGAGTGGCTCTTCGGACTGCACATGGTTGCTGATCTATCATTTTTTTATTATTCACTTGTATTTCTTTTGTTTCTCCCTGCTGAAAATTGTAGGAATTAGTAAGTTCTTCTCATTGACAGAAATCATTGGAGATTCCCTACAGTTATCAAAGAAATTGCTTATTTCTGATTTCTTTCTGATTTCCATGGAGCAGACAGCAATTTTCTCATCATGGCATGTGAGGAATTTTTTGTGGCTTTTGATTTCATGCATGAATGTGTTTGTTTAAATGTAATACGTAAATGATCAGTGGAGGGAAATTGGTGGGAAAGGCTTAAAGTGCATTTAATGTATGTGTGGAAATGGATTCTTGGAGAAAATGGAGGACGACACCACAGTATGACAGGAATATCCCACTGCTCTCTGATGGGGGTTTTTGAAGCTCAGACATTTCTGGTGGTGGAATGAGCCCTGGAGAAAGCATAAGTTGAGCACTATTAGTTTTTAGTAAACTAAATGAGTCAACAGCTTCTTTGCCTTGGGTACTTTCTGCACTTTTGGTCTTTTCCTCCCACATGCGCTGGTGGAAAAGTCTTACAGCAGAGGAGTATGTGTGTCTTTTTGGGTCACTGCTGAACACCATCTCCCAGATCACGTCATATTCTCTGTTTAACTCCTTGGTTCTCATTGGGAATGGCTTTAAACTCAAAGGCAGTAGGTTTAAAAAATAAATTCTTCCCTGTCAAGGCAGTGAGGCACTAGAACCTTCCAACCCAAACCAGTTATGATTCTATCATCTTGCCTTGTTATTTGTAAGAACACACATGGCTTATGTTAAAGGCTTGAGCTGCTGGAAGCCATTTGCTTTTAGATGCAACTACACAACCTCCAACAAGCGCAACTAGAGTGCCTCCACAGCCTGCCATCCTCCCCAGGAACCTCTGACACATTGTTATTTTGTCATGTTTCATCCTGTGCTCTGTGCCCTGCCCCGCAGGGCCCGCCTAACCCCATTCCCCTCAGCATAACAAGATGGCGGCCTGTGGGCCTCCCGCAGGTGCTGGTCCCGCCCCCGTGCGCATGCGCGGAGACGCCCCGCAGGTGCCACCGCCCCCTGTGCTATATCTGAGTACGCCGAGAGCCGCACGTATAAGGGGCCGTATCACGCCCTCTGCCCTCGGTTCGATCCCTCCGCCACCTCTAAAGGCAGTTCCTAGAGCTGAAGGCTCGGCGCTCCCGAGGCGGGAACACGGACCCAGAAAGGCACCGCGGCCCAGAGCGCGTTCGTGCCTCCCTTGGGGCTCGGCTGTGGGCGCTCCGCGGGCTGGCCCCGAGGGACTCCTTCTCTCGAAGCTCAAGCGGAAGGATATATAATTTTTTTTATTTTTTTCTGCCATCTGCTGAGCAACGGTTTCGGGGGTGTGGCCGGGCGCTCGGGCCCCGCCCCTCCGGGCCAATCGCG